AAGTCAAGGACAGCCCTGAGCCAGCACTAACATTTCTACCTTAATTTATAAATCAGGTGCAGAGAGACAAATTATTACATAAGGAAAACTATTAAGACTTAAAAGAAACAGGACATCATTAGGCAAAACTCTGTTGAATTCCACCACGGACCCAACACTAGGTGGCACTATTGTACCACAAACTACAGTTTACACAGTGGTAGTCTTGGCTGAATTAGCCTTGTATTTTTATTAATTTTTACGGATAATATCAGTGCTTATTTTAAGCATTTGTTTAGATTTTTATCAATTTGCATCATCAGGACTGAGCAAAACTAGGGATGTGGGAGCAGACCATTTATTAATGACAGAATACTATTATAGCTCAGTTAAACTGACCACCTGGACTGTAGATTTGCTGCCAGCTGAGCAGCAGAGCTGCCATAAGTCCCAGCTCCTGTCACTCATAGCTACCTCTGTATTCAAGCAGGATCTATTAACATCTCATTTTCCTTTTCTAAGCATATCTGACATGCTTGTCATCATGACATCAACAGGACACTTCTCCCTCCTTCCCTCTTCCTCCCAATTTCTACCAATTTACTGTTGGTACAGCAGTTCTGCCAGCGTAACTCAAGCATCTGGAAGAAGGAGAACTTTTGTGATGGTACAGTGTATCCTGTGAAGGAGCAGATTTCTCTCTTTCTTTCTCCCCCACATCCTTCTTTACATCTCTGTCCCTTATCTCAGCCTAAATGAACATAACAAATCATTTGCTGCCAATGTTCTCAGGAAAACAGCAAACACAAGTGACTTGTTTTACCAACTTTTCAGAAAATCTGGAGGGTAACACCTCTTGGTCCTATTGAAATCAATGATAAAACTCCCGTAGACTTCAATGGAATAAGGGATTCACTCTAAAAGAAAAGACAATATTGCGTTATGCTAATACATTTGCCACAATGATCAACTGACTCTGCATTTCAAAATTCTGATTAAATTGTTAATAATGAACATGAAATTAATGCATAAACTGGACTCTTATGAGCAAGGATCCTGTTTTTTCTGTTTAAAAGTAAAAAAATTCTCTGATTAAAAAATCCCAAGTCTGTGTTTTTCTGCAATTAAAATGAAACACCACTATATATATAGGTATCAGTTGGACACAATGTTTTATTGATATATTGATATTTTTAAAGCAGCTTGGAAGTCTACCAACGCCTTAATCATTATAATAAAATACATTCTAAATACCTATATATTTTGGTGTTTGATTATGTTTTTTTTATCATAGAAAATCAGAGCTCCCTCTTCCCCTTTTGCTCACCAGGATATGGGTCCAGCTGCGGTTCCCCCCCACCAGCTTTGTGGCACTGAACAGCCCTGATATGCTGGTGCCATACCCCTGCCCATGCTGTTGCCTCTCTCTCCTGACCCACAGGCCCCCCAGCCCTGCTGTTGCCTCTCACTACCAACTCACAGCCCCCTGAGCCCGGTTAGTGCCCCTCACTCCTGACCCACAGCCCCTGGCCCTGCTGGTTCTTTTCACTTGCGACCTGCAGCTCCCTGCCCCACTAGCTGTGCTGGAGGGGGCCCCCAGCTGCCAGGGCTACAGGGCCAGGAACCCAGGTCTGAATCCCCATGATCCCCTCAGCAGTGCCCAAACCCTGGCTGCCACCCGTGGGAGGCGGCAGCTGCTATGGCCAGAGTGGAGCGTGGAGTCCGGCTCTCCCTTCCTCATGGGTGGCACTGCTGAAGAGGAGTCCAGGGTTGGGGTGGCTGCAGGCTGCCTGCTGTGGGCTTGGGCCTCTCTGTCCTGCTGCCATGTCCCTGGGGGACTCAGTGGCCTAGTGAGCGGGACCCAGCACAGCAGAGCAGAGCAGAGCAGAGCAGAGCAGAGCAGAGAGGCTCAATGCCACCGCGGCATGGCGCCTCTTGCCCACCTGGCAGCAGTGGAGGCCACAACTCTGCACTGCCACCCCATTGCTATCAGGTGGGCAAGGGGTGGCTCATCATGGCAGCGTGGGGCTCCCAGTGGCAGCACCAAGCCTCCCCACCCTACCTGGCTCTGCCACACTGGGTCTTGCTCACTGGGCTATGGAGGCCCCCGGGGAGAGGACAGCAGCGTGGGGAGCACCGATCTCACAGCAGGCAGCCTGTATGCACCTTTGCCTTGCACACAAATCTGTGGGACACATGTCCCCCAAGCCCCCCAGGAATATGTGCAGTGGCAAGGAATAAGCCCCTCCGCTGCACTCTGGATGAGTAGCCTGCAGCTGTGTCCTGCTCGCCACCCAGGCCTTGTGGCTGTGCATTCTCCCCCTGACCTCGGGCTCCAAGCCACAGGCCCCATGCACCACCCCAGCTGGGCAGTGTTCCCAGCCCTGCTCAACTCCCTTCCTCCATTGTGGTGAGGGATTCAGTTCCACCCCCGCACCCTGGGAATTACCTGCAGGGAGCTGTGGGAGCTGCTTTCCACACTGCACGCACATACACATGGTGCCCCCTGTCTGATTGCCCTTCTCCACCCCCTGCCCCCCCAGTCCATTGCAGGCTGGAACTCTGCTAGCCTGCAAGGGGAAACTCACCGTTTCCTGCATTTTTCTCCTTTAAAAGAGAAAATCCATGTTTTTCTCCTTAAAAAAAAAATCAGCATTTGTCTGTATTTTTCCATGGTGAATGGATTCCTGCTTATAACTTAACAAGGGGCTCACATATTGTGACTTTACTTGCAGGATATTCATTCTACAGACTTAAAAACTTAAACATTCAGTTTATGGCTCTGAACAGAAATTTCTTAGCACAAGAATCATAATGTGAGATTTATGACCTTAAGAGCTTCTGTACAGTATGGAAATGAACTTCGGGTGATCTTTGCAAGCCACTTTATTTTTATGGAGATGTGTCTTATGCATTTTCTGCTTGTTTTGCTTTGTTTGCATTCAGTGGTTTGGCTGTTGGTATGGACCCCAGCTGCCTCTATGTCTGGATGTTCCTCTTCTCTGATAGTTCTTTGCACAGAGACTGAAGATATTAACAGAGGAAGTTTGTTTCTAATTCCTCTTGGCACTGAATGTCAGAGGCTTGGCACAAGTTGGGGGACTGGACTCAATGGCTCAGGAAGCCTCTTCCAGTCCTATGGTTCAGGCCAGTGTCTGTGAACATGGGGGGAACCAATCTTTGAGTCTGGCCAAGCCACACTTAACACAGAATCTGAAGGATGAGGCCAGCTGTGGCTCTACACACCTTTATGTCTCCTTGACAAGGGGCTGGCTCACAGCTTTAATGCAAGTTGCAGCCACCTTAGGGCTGCTCTAAGCCAGGTGTAACCAAGATGAGGCCCACCAGCTCCAATCCCAAGATTTGGCAGCATGGCAAGCAGTGGCAGTGTTAATTGTGGTAGCTCCCAGAGCCATGACAATTAATCACAGCTGCTGCCAAATTATAGCCCCATGTGTTAGATGGCATGGCTCTATGCTCCAGATCTGTCCCACAGACTGGCCTCACACCACTCATCTAGTCTGTGGGGCCAGATGAACTTGGCACCACTTCTCTAAACTAGGGCCAGGAACCAAAACTCCTCCCCCTCCCATGCAATTCACCATATTACATGTTACTATCACAGAGATTTAAAAATGCAAGATTCAGGAGACAAAAAGCAATTTTTAAAATGCAAACTGCAACTTTTCCATTTAATTTTGTTCATTCTTATTTTCTAGATACAAATTCTTCTTTCATACAAAAACAGATCTAGGTACATTTTCTAATAATTCTCATTGTACTGAAAACAAGAAAACAAGATGCTGAAATAAAACTTGTTATACATATAGCTTTACTGTACAATACATTACTGTACAATTAAATAATACATTGCATTTTATATATCTAATCTATATAGCATATAATACATACTTTGAAATATACCTGCTCAGTGCAATCTATGCTTTCACAATTGAACTACTGACATCATCTTTAATAGCCTGAGATACTAAGGCTGAGAGGTGTCTGTGTGTGTGTGTCTCCAATTTCACCAGGACAAAGACAGACAGAGCAATGTCTGCTTAGGGCTTTTTGGAGCTAATCAACAGGACAGCTGGTAATGTCTCTCCACGCATTCCTTGGAAAGAGCTGTTTAAGAGCTTGAACTAATGAGAGAGGTTTTTGTTTTCTTGATGGGGTGCTAAATGCTGTGTTATCAACTCCCTGCTGGCTTCCTCACTGGTCAGGAGCAGTGAGCGCCGGGGGCTAGGGTGGAACCCCTCCCTAATCAGACTGTCCTGCCAGGGCCTGGCTGCACCTCCCCTCAGCCCAGCACTGTGGAAGGGAAGGGAGGGCTGCTCTAGCACCGCCCCCAACTTCTAGCCTGAGCCACTGCAGGCATGTGCCTGCATTTCTTCAGTCCAGAGGGAATGTCTTTACAATTGCAAACTGGTTCAGCCTAGCCAGGTTAGACTAACCTGCAAAGATTGAATCAATTCAGACTCAACCTTTTTGAATGTCTGCTCCAAGGTCTTATGTTCTGTAACAGGTTTAAATCAGTTTCTGATTTAATAACAACTTCATTGCACTGGTCCCTCTGAGTCAGCCACATTCCAAAGCAATGTATTATGTAAGTGGCTCTCCCTTAAGTTACATTAATTTCTATTTACACTAGCTTGATATCCTATTGGATAACCAAATATCTAATCTAGAAAACTGTAACTATGGCAGGAAGCTCAAGGTGTCTGCCATTTTAAGAGGAAGGCAGCTTGTGAAGTAACTGGCAGATAGCCAGGATGGCTAATGAGTGCCTCACTTGATTAGGGGAAGGTTGGGTTTAGACTGGATATAAACTCAGACCCTGAGGCAAGCTAGCAGTATATCTTGGAGGCTGCTAAGAGAACATCTCTAGAGCAGGATGGCAGCAGCTTCTGAGTCCCAACATGGAGAATACAGGTTTGGGAAGGGATTATGGGGAGGAGGAGGTCCCTGAAAGCCTACTAAGGGGGTCCAGGAGCCCAGAGAGGGGCTGAGTGTGGGGCTAAAGGGTCCAGAAGCCTGGAGAGGGGCTAAGTACAAGGTCAGTGGGGTCCAGGAGCCCAGAGAGGGGCTGAGTGGGAGACTGGCTGAGTGAGTGTCCAGAGGGTCCAGGGTAGCCCTGGAGTGACAAGTGTGAGCAGGGCCAGAGGGCCCAGAGGTCTGTAACTGAAGAGGGGCAAAGTGTGAAGTCTGGAAGTCTGCAGCCTGGGAGGGGCACGTCACATCAGTAGTGGGGTCCAAGGACCCCATAGCCTAGGAGGGGCAAGGGTACAACCTAGAAGATGGTCCTAGGTAAGACTGAAAACCGTACCCTACCGGGGCTTGGGGTCACAGTGGTGGAGCTGCTTATAGCAGGGTAGCTCTATAAAGTGCCACAGGTGACAAACCGCAGGGAATGGTGACCATGGGGTGCCCCAAAACCCTAGCTTCCACTGCCTTGTGGGTTACCCTGTGGTGGGGAAAGGCTGGGGGAGAACACCCTGACAGAAAAGCACCAGGAATAGATTTGTAGGGGACCTAAGGGTCCAGAAGCCCAGAGGGGAACAGTGTGTAACCAGTGGAGGCCAGGAGCCCAAGAGGGCTGGAGTGTGAGACCAGAACCTAGAGAGGAATTGAGAGAGCTCAAGCCCACAGGTGTGGCTTGTGTCAGCAGGGCAGGAGCCCAGAGAGAGTGAGTGGAACCAGAGCATCCAAGAGCCCAGAGAAGGGCAGAGTGTGGGACTGAAGGGTCCAGGAGCCTAAGAGGGGCAGTGTGGGGGATCAGACAGTCCAGGGTCCAGTGAGGGGCAGAGCATGGATGAGAGGAGTCCTGGAGCCCAGAGACAGGCAGAGTGTGGGACCAAAGAGGGACTAAGTGGGGGACCAGTGAATCCTGGGGCCTAGAGAGAGGCTAAGAGTATTGGAATGAGCTCAGGTGACATCAGCAAGGGATAACACCCATGAAGCATGGGGTGTGGCACAGATGGCGGCATACAATTAGCTCTTAAGTAAGGTAATGACCACGGACACCTGGTGGTCATTAGAGTGAACCCAGGTTTGTGAAACCCAGGGGCAGCCTTTCTTATTTAAATGACAATGTACAACAAAGCATGGTGGGTGAATAAAGGGGTGACTACACACAGAGCAGGGAAAAGAGAGTCCTCCAGGGACTTCATGGCCACCCCTGGAAGGCACCCTGCTACAGTAACATTTGGAAAATATGAAGTCGTAATGGTAGCACAAACATGAGTTAGTATAAGGCAAAACTGTCTCGCACTGGAGCTACAAGCAAAGAGATTTCTGCTCAAGTGAAGAAGCCATGTATATAACATGTCTAAGACAACCAGAAAACACCCATGGGTTGCTTTGTCACTTGGTTTCTCTCATCCTAGCATGCTGCCTCTTCTCTTTTCCCTTCCAGAGAATGAGAAAATTGCACATCAAAGTACTTTCTAAGTAGTCACCTATGGACCAGAAAGCAGCAGGGGGGGCAATTTTACAAAAGCCTATTTCCAGTACAGAAGCATGGATGAGAGGGGGGCTGTTTGGCTTAACACAGGAATAGGAGAGGGACAGAATTAAAAAGGAGTATGTTTGGAGGGGCATCCTCCTCAGGTACCTTTTTATGCTCAGTAGAGGAGCTTCCTAACTGTCTGATATTTTCATCATTTTTAAATGTCCTTTTGATTAGCTTAAGCACTCCAGCACAGACATCTCCATGCCTTGGAACCTGCTGATGTACTATCTCCAGGCATGTGAGACACTGCCAGGATTTGAATAAGCTGCTCCCACAAAAATACTCCTCCTTGGACTGCAATAATTGCTGTCTGTGAGAATACCTATACTTGCAGGGAAGGCCAGGATGAACTGTAGAATCTAGTAATTCATTTTCTCATTTGACTAAAATAATCTTTTTACCACTGTAAACCTGGAAGGAGGTAGCACTACATGGCAGTTTTTTTCTCTTCACAAATGAAGATGAAACCACGGTGCTTTATCAGTCAGGAATCAAGCTCCCGTTGATTTCACCAGATCTAGGATTTCACTTTCTATGTTTGAGGTCTGGGGCTAAGTTATCTACTGGCATTACTGCAGTGTAGCAGCATTCAGAGGGGACTTGGACTTGCCGTGAAGCAAGGGGAATCATAGGATCCTATGGTGTATTATGTCATAGGAACCTATGGTTTCCCTTGGTTTGGGACAAATGAAATTCAACTTCAGAAAAACATCTGATGCATGGTCAGGGAAGAAGACAGTGGCAGGAAACAGCAACACACACTAAAAATACATGATTGTTGCAAAACAGTCCAACAAAGCTTCTAAAAAAACTGTATACCATTTGTCTTTGAAGGGATTCAGTGCAACACAGACAGAAAAGGACATCTGGGAGCTGCAGTGAGGAAAGAATGAGCTCCCTACTCATTCTCCTACCTTTTAAACAACAGAGCAAAAATGAGACATAAAAAATATGCCCGATGATTTATGGATGTTTAATACTGCTGGCAGCACTGCTCTCAAAGCTACTGAGGCAATTCAGGATATCCTTGTCCCATTCATTCCTCTTTTACGAGGTTTTCCCCAAGAAAGAAAATACTTTAAAGAAGTGCTTAGGTCAGTACTTGGGGACCCATTCCTCTCCCTGTTCCCAAATTTAAAAACATAGGCCCCAGTCCTGCAAAGATCTTTAGGATAAATTTAAGCAGGCTTGGTGCCAAAGTGCTTGGAGATGCAAGCAAGAAACATATACAGGGCATTTACTTAGCTACAAACCACAGGAAATTAATAAAAGAAGGAACAAATACACTTCTCTTTAGGAAGATACCAGCTCAGACCCTCTGGTGTGGTGTGGCTGCTTTGTGTTGCTCTGTGGGTGACAATGAATTTAGAGCCAGCAGAGCTGGCCACTGGAAGGTAACTTCAGCATAAGGTGATCATGCAGTAAGACAGAGCTAATGTGATAGCTCTGCCACCCACAGACCTCCAAACCACTGAATATTAAGTCAGAGAGGTAGCTGGAAACAGAGAAGGAATTTTCCTGGCTTGTGCTGTATACATTAATCACTGTCTGCTTTGGGACTTATTGCACACTCATCTCTCTTTATTTTTAAGTTCTACTAACTTGTATTATACCAGATGTTTGCAATTCCCACTTACTCAGGAATTCAGACCATCAGTTTGTGTGACATCTATATATAGGGCATGAAGAGGCTATTTGCACTGGCTTATCTGCCTGCCTCTGTGCTGTGGTCTTCTTAGTGCCATCCATTCCAATGTCAATCTTTGCAGTTTTTGGTGCCTTGGAATTCAGAATTGCCTTCACAGTGCTCTGCAGCATGGTAAAATAAACCCTTCAATGACAGCCATAAGGGTAGTTGCTCCGAGTGGTATAAACAGAAATATGTCCATTTTGATTATTATAATATTTAATTTGGGAGAAGATGTATTTGCTTTGTTCATTTCTCCTGAGGAAGTTTTTAAAACACTGATATCCTCCTGGGAGTCTGCACCAAACCTGCCTTGCATGGAACAAATCAGTTTATAAATAAAGGAAACAACTCCATTTCAGTTCTGTCCTTTGTAGTTTTCTTTAAATGGTTCACTATCTTTGTCCTTTATGGACATATTTCTCCTGAGTCCTGCTACCATGCTGGAGGAGGAAGCCTTTCTAAAGGTCGTAAGTCTCCTTCGAAAATTGGCTCCTGAAAAGAAATAGAGGAGTGGGTCAAAGCAGCAATTTGAAGCTGCCAGAGGAAGGGTCACTACCACTGCTTTCTGCAAATATATGGCATCACAGTTGGAGCTGTTCCCCTTCAGAACCTGAAGGTGGACTGTGCGTAGAATATGATAAGGCGTGAAGCTGATCAAAAAAGTAGCTGTTACAACTATTATCATCCAGACAGCCCTCAGACGAGTAGCCTGATTCTTCTTTAATGAATTTTTCAGTAAGGTCTTTATGATCATGGTATAACAGATAGTTATGATAACAAAGGGGCAAATGAAGCCTACAAATAGTGCAATCAAGTTCAGGATTATAACCATATTTGTCTTCGATTCATTTTCTGGAGGTTCAAAGCACTTTACCTTGTTTCCATCAGAGTAAGATCCATTCAGCAAGAAGGGAGAACTTGTCACGGTGACAAAAATCCAAATGCCGATGCATACCAGTTTAGCCTTTTTCTCAGTTACCAAATTGAGATTCTGAACAGGGAAAACTATGGCTATGCAGCGAAAGAAGCTCATTGCTGTCATAAAAAAAATGCTACAATACAGGTTGACATACAGTGCATAGGAAGAGAGCCTGCATAAGAAATCACCAAAGAACCATTTGCCTTTGTGAACATAATACACGATTCGAAGTGGCAGTGTGCATACACAGAGGAGGTCTGACACTGCCAGATTAAGCATATATATCTGGAAGGCTGTCTTCTGTTGGTAGGTTTTTATGAGCACATACAGAACAATGCAATTTCCAACAAAGCCCAGAATAGTCACCATCGAGTACAATGTGGAGTACACTTTGTTTCGGAAGTCATCAATGGCGTGGTGGCATGACAAGTTGCTAGGAAAATCTGTTGTATTTTCTGCAGCAGCCATCTGCTCTGCTTGGAGATGTTACCTTGAAGCCAATAGCTTAAATATAAAATAATGAAAGTGAGTATTATATAAAGCAATACATCAAAATAAAATATAATGATTAAATGGAAAAGAGTGTTTTTTGAAGAGTAAGAGTTAGGAAGGAAAGAAGACGGATGGTGAGCTAATATGTTAAATACTTGATGCTGTAAGTATCCATGCAAAAGGTAGGGTTCTTATATCTACACTTAAAGTTAGTGTTATAAATATTAAAAGTAGAATTTTCAAAATCCTTAACACTGTCCAGATTCTTCTGTGATTGAAGTCAGTGGGAGGTTTACCAAGAGCTCCCATAGGAGCAAATTTAGGTCTCTGCTTAGATCTTACAAGAATCCCACCCTTATTCCAAATCACCTGTCAACTTTTGTAATGCTACAGAGTTTTGCATCACTCTTAGATTTCTTTGCATTAGGTAATGGTACAAACTCCCCCAAACAAACCGACAAAAAGCCACCATTGGATCCTACCTCTGTTTGGAACCAGATATAATGGAAACAAGACTATTTTGGCTTCTATGCTGTAAGCCTCATGTAAGCTAAATTTGCAGGCAGTAAAGGAGGAAGAAATAATTGACAGCAATATCATTACTGATTGGCCAATGTATATTTTTTAATGTTTGAATAGGAGAAAACTTTAGCTACTAATGACTATTTTTAGTGCTGTCTCTCTTAGTGTCTGGCAAACACCAGTTCTCTGCATCCCATCTTTGTGCTGCCTTATACCAGGAAAAATGTCCGTAGGGGAAAGACCACATAGCAACTCCTAAAGCTTTTAAAAAGAATGCTCAAACAAGATTTTTCAAGTAAAAATAAAAGTTTACAAAAACTTTAAAAAGTAACCATGAAGAATGTTCCAGACTGAAACTGCAAACAGCTTGAATAAATCCTTGTTATTTGTTAAAATATTTCTCCATTGGTCTAAACTTCACTTTGGAGTAATAAAACAAAAACATAACCTTCCACATTAGTGCAATACATAGTCACAATCCATTTTTTCACTCTTATCTGTTACATTTAGCAGAGAGGCATACTAGAGTGCAAAGCTCTGCAGACAAACTGGCTCTGTGGGCTGAGGGGGGATCTAGTGGCCTGTTACAAACTAGTCAGGGGGGATCAACAGGCACTGGGGAAGTCGCTGTTCCCCCGAGCACCGCCAGGAGTGACCAGGAATGATGGTCACAAGCTGGTAGAGGGTAGATTTAGGCTAGATATCACGAGGCGCTACTTCACGGTCAGGGCGGTTAGGATCTGGAACCAACTTCCAAGAGAAGTGGTGCTGGCTCCTACCCTGGGGGTCTTTAAGAGGAAGTTAGATGAACACCTTGCTGGGGTTGTTTGACCCCAATAATCTTTCCTGCCGTGGCAGGGGGTCGGACTAGATGATCTACTCAGGTCCCTTCCAACCCTAGAAACTATCCCTCTGGATCCCTAACCCTGCTTCTGCCTCTCAGACTGGGCCCCTGGTCCTGTCTCTGCCCTCCTCTGGACTGTGGATCCCTGCCCATATCAGTCTCTAGTTGTGGCCCTCCTCAGCCTGTGACCCCTCCACCTGGGCTCTGGCCCTGCTCCTAGGCCA